CAGTTGAAACATGTTGCTTTTTCAACACCAAAGTAAAGTTGGAAACCACCATTTACAAGTTGCAATGTTCAGGTGTATAATGTAAGGATCCCTGTCAAAGGGTAATGAGAACCCGGATGAATCAATTCGTCCCATGACAAGAAAAGGGTCTCCTCCAAAAAGCGATTCAACCAACCCCACTACAAGAAATTGGACACCCCCCAAAAAAATAATCAAAAAGGGGATGATGATTTTGGGCTCAGCTGCTTCGGTGCGTCTTTTTTGAGGGTACTTGGGCCGACCCGGGTTTTGCCCTTAGATGCTTTGTTCGGTCCACTCCGCGTGCGATCCTTAGGCATGGCATTACCGAGTCTTCAGTCACCAAGACCTACAGCAATATGAAGGCCAGCTGCGTGGGAAGGTCGCCATTGCAAGACCGGCTTCTTTATTTTGGTGCATTTTGCTTGGATCTTCGGACTTCAGCTTTTTGCCAACGAATAGCTTTTCCATTAAACCAGCAAAAGTTAAACTTTTGGCAGGGGAGCAGAAAGCAATCGAGTTTACTTAGCCTCGGGTTTTCTCCAGAACTAGTTAGTATACCATAGGGTTGACCAAACCTGAAAACACAATCATGACAGGGTGCGGGATTGAGCTACAATCAATACCAGCGCAGATGACAAATTAGCAAGGTAGTGGGGCCGTTTGTTGGTTTATGTCCATGGTTCTGTCTAGGTCCATTTTCGTACCAGGTTTCGAGTATGACTCACTTTGTTAGGGATGATTGTGAATCAGCTTGGAAATTTGGATCAACATTCCTGTTCAGGGAACGACGGCAATGCTCAAGGAGGTTTGACCGAACATAATCTGGGTTTGTCTCAAGATTGGGTAACCCCCAACACGGTCGGCGTCCTTTCGTTTTGCCTTTAAAGCCATCCAAAGAAGGGCCAACAGACCACCTCCTTTGGGCTTGAACTTGTCATGGATTGGCCGCGGTTTCGCTTGGGCCCCCATTTTTGGATTGCTTGGCGTCCGACTTGTTTGATCGCTTGCCACGGAAGTCTTAAGTTGACACCCTCTAGTCACTTTCTGAGTTTTTGGCCTTCATTAGTTTTTCATTTACAAGTTTAGTGGTTCATACCACTATTTTTCAGTGAGTCCAAGACTGCAGGTAGACTTTTGGAGTTCTACCAAACTGCTTCCACAGCAGGCAAAGGATCGCCCGCAGCGCACGCCCAAACAAGGGCCTCGCTCAGGCCACCAACATGGAAGCATGCTTGCGGCTGTGCAAGTGACTTAAGCCGGGGGCCCAGTGTTCCATGTCTGTTGAAATATTTACATTTTCCCTTGTTGGTGTTCAATCACATCTATCACTACTGGAAACTATGTACATATATACATATTTCCAGGGGACTTAAGCAAATGGAGGCAGTGTGGAAGTTGCTTCAGCTTCTGGATAGACATCCCGTGCGTTGGTTCCTTACTTCCTTCTTTGGAGGGGGTTTCCCTTTAACGTCGACCCACCAGAGTTGCCCTTTCTTTCCCACGTCCACGCGGGAGTACGGGTTCAGGTGTTGCTTCCCAAGTAGATTGCGTTCAAGCAGCCAACCTGACAGGTTGGACACCGCAAGATTGTGACGAACAAGTGTTTGGCCATGGAGGCTTGGAAAAAATCAACTTACCAGGACATCTCAATCCAAGTACCCTGCTGAAGATTGCATTTCAGAGGGTACGGGCTCCGTGTCTTTAGGTACTTGGACCTGGAAGTCATGTTAAAACATCTGCATGTTGTGAATCAGACTGATTCAGCCATCGAACGTCTTTTGCCACTGGCCTTCCACTTGTTTCAGATGTCCTGGTTGGTAACTCATGACTGGCCAACAGGTTGGACATTTCCCTTGAACAGCCTTTGGTGGACCTCTTTCACACGGGGGGGGTGTTCCCCGGAAAAAAAGAAAAAAAACTGGTGGCTAAACAAGTGTTTTTGTTTTTGGTGGCACTGAATTCGCGCACAGAAGGTTGGGACTTGTTTGAACCTTTTTTTTTGAAGGGGGGCAGGGGGGCAGGTCAAATGGATTGTTGAACCCAAAGGAAGAAGGTACCTTTGGCATTTTTTCCCGGTGGATTCATTTACTTGTAGGTATACCAAGGGAACCACTCTGTTGAAAGGCAAAAGGAAAATTGCTGGTTGCCCACTACAAGGGCAACTGGGATTCGATTCCGCCCCGCTGCCATTGTCGCTGGCACTGCTCCGCCCATGTTGCGCGAAATTTTGATTTCTCCTCGTTCCGAGCGGGTCCACTACTACCAAAAAGGCGACCTTGCTGGGAACATGGTGCATGTAGCGGCCACAAGCCCCGTATTCTTAAGGGGAAGTGGTTTGGGGTCATGGGAAGGAACCGTGTCAGACGGTCCCCGTTCCTAAACCAAGAACTCGCCGCCGCTATCGTTTAGCAGATAGACTATGTAGTGGGCTCACGTCCTTCTTCTTGCCGACCATTCCGTGGCTTTCCGCACCAGCCAGGGATTCTCTCTCTTTGCAACAATACAGAAGTGGACCAACACGGTTCCCCAAACAGAGCATAGTCTTCCAAACCCCTTCTGTCGGCTTCAATGATGGTAGCCAATGGGAGGTTCCGCTGTGAAAGATGTGCGTCTGTGTTGGATCCCGATGTTCGACCCAAAATTCGGACGATTCCCGGCAGCTGAGTTTGTCAAACCTTGGCCGTTCCCAGCCGTTCTCTTAGGTTTGTAGGTTTTTGGTTTGGGTGTCCATTGAGCCCAGTTACATGAAAGCTGTGCCCCAACTTGGGTGGTTGCCCTTTAGCTTTCTTTTCAAACAATATCCTCGGACTCGGACCTCCAATCAAGGAACGGTTCCTTTCCTGTACATTTCCCCGAAAAGACACCGGAGAATAAGGATAAGACTTGCCGGGCTGGGGTAACCCATTTCTAGAATTAATTCCTCTTGGTGCCCCCTTTTCTGGTTCAACATTGTCCGCAGAATTACCCTGGTCAGAGGCATGTCCACGAAAGCTGAGGCACATCTTCCCGTCGCTCAAGGCGACGGAGGTGAGAGCGCGGTAGTTATGACCTTTGGATCTCGCAGCTTTCAACTTTCCTGCTATTGGGTTGGATCTTTAGACTTTAACTTTTTGGTTGAAATAAAGGTGTTTTCCACTAAGCCCCCGAAAGAAGTCATTTACTTTTTGCTGGGGGTCAACAGCAGCCCAGTCAATCAGTTCCTTGGGAACAAGCTTTCAAGCACCTGACTTTGCCCCGTCCGAGAGTCCGAGGTCGCGGCTTTGCACGCCGGTACGTTCGCACGCCTGCGAGGCAATTGCTAGGAAGAGCAACCCTGGCAAGATATGGCTGCAGTTGGTCCCATGCTCTATCAAGAGCTTTGCAAGAATCTGCTTTTAGAGGCTTCTTGATTGGGGATCAGCCCAGATCTGGGTCCCAGGCCTTTGCCTTACCCCGCGTGTTAGTTCTTCTTTGTTCTTTCTTTGGGGGGGCGGGAAGGGGGTGTGGGTGTGTCTTCTTTTGAGTGTACCCCATTTTTGTCGTGTTCAAAAGGACCACCACCACTTTGGGGGGGTCCACCCAAACAAAACACACCCGTGTCTTCCATAGTAGCCATAGTAGTTTTTGTTTGACGGACCTTCAGCAAAACAGCCAGGATAGGGCCGAGACGCCTTCAGATTCCAGCCGATCAGCCTAAGGCTCCGGGAAAATGAGCAGGTGCGGTTTGCGCGATGCTGATGTGTGTGTGTGTGTGTGTTTGTGTTGGGAACCCCCTAACAATGTGGTTTTCCTGTTGGTTTCCGTTTTAACTACAAGAAGAGGGATACCCTTTAAACACATGACACAACCACTTGAGTCGTTGTGACTTCTGCTCGCCTTCGATAGCCAAGCTGAGGCGGCCAAGTACAGTTTGACAGTTGAAAGTTGGTAAAATCTCGCGATTTGGGTGTGGGTCAAAATTAAACCAACAGGGGAGCGCCAGGGTTCAATTTTTGGGTACCTAATTTTGACCCACAGCCATTTGATTCTGTTATCCCCTTCATGTGATTTCTGCATCTTTTTTTCCAGCAAAGGCAAGCAAGAGTTGCTACAAGCAACTAAACTGAAAGGGTTCCCGAGTACCTGCTTGGTCCAAAAAACACCGGGGTCAGGGTCAAAGAAAAGCAACCTTTAGCATTGCCCATCTCTTCCATGTCTTTCAACTTGATTCACAACGTTACGCGGGTCCTGTGGTCCCTTGGTACTTGATGGGGTCCAAAGAAACCATGTCAAAGTACAACCTCGGTTACCTGGTACCCTACAAACTTCCCCTTGGTGCGGTCGTTTTTGATTCTTTTGGAATCGAAAACAAGTTTGCTGGAGGGCCCTTTGCTTGATGAATCTTTGAACTTTAGCTTGCTGGTTGACACTTTGTGGATATTCCATTGGAGGCACAAAAAGTCAAAAGCTTTTGCAGAGGGGTGGGTACAGCAACCAAGACTTGCTGGTTCTCAGCAGGGGAAACATGACCCAAATAAGCCATCACAAGGTTTCCTTGGTAAGGGAATTCCCAAAACCAGTTCATTCCCAACACCCGGACCTATCGCATCGGCAAGAATCTTCAGGGTCCTTAAAAGCGGGCCAGGGCTCATCAGATTTTGACAAAACGCGGGGGGAATAAGAGGAAAGTATTGGAAGGAGTTTCAGGTTCAGTCTCTTCCGATCCATACACTTCCTGGTCGATTTCGTGCCCGGAGATGGCAGATTCAGAATGCATGGTCAATAAACATCAGATCCATCTTGGATTGCCCCCCAAAAAACGTGTTGCCTGGAACTGGTCCACTCACATCAGTTGATCCATCTCGGATTGGCCCCCCCCCAACAAAAAATGCCCTTGGATTGGGCCCCCCCAATTAAAAAAACAAAGAGAAAAACACAACTGGAACCCCCACCCCAAAAAAAAGCAAAAAGAAAAACAAAAAGGAACTGGTCTGGCTCCTCTGGTTCCAGTCGGACCCAAGGCGCCAGTGGTGTGCCACAGCTCCTGCGAGAAGTGCGACGGCGGCACGGAGGCGGACTGCCTGAGCTGCAAGGGCCTGCGCTTCATGCCGCTGGGCCCTGCCACCAAACCGCGCTGGGAGGTGTGTCCAAAAGGTTCCAAAAAGGGCGGGTCCGGCTGCCAAAAAAAGTCCCCAAGACCTCAGTAGGAGTGGGATGGGGTTGTTGAGGCCCCGAAAATCTTTGTTTTTCGGCACCACTTTCTGGAAAGACGAATAGTGAAGGCAAGGAATGGCAAGGGAACACGTGACACGGAACATGGGATGGGCTGCCCTAAAAGTCCCGAAGACCTCAGTATTGTGTGTTCTAAAAACCTAATTAAGACCTCAGTATTTGTTTTGTTATGGCTGTGGGTCAAACCCAATGGTACCATTTTGGGGGGCAGGTGAATTCAGCACCCATGTTAGTCTATTTTAGTGGTTGGATTGGGATGTTCACTGGGAATACGATTTGGATTTTGACCCATGGCCAAGCGACACGGAAAATGGGTCGCCTTCCCTAAAAACCTAACACCTCAGTATTTTTGTTGCTCTGGTCTGGGGGTCAAAGGCCTCTGGATATTTCGGGTCTGAAGCTCCTGCGGCTTGGAGGTTTAGAGGCAATCTCGCCTGAGATCCGTTTCGGACTTTGGACCATTTGAAAAAAAAGGAAGCAAGCAACAAATCGAACGGGCGAAGTATCTTTCACTCGCTCCCTGAGTCCCCTTTTGGACGTTCGTCACTGTATAGGTTTGGACCAAGTTTTGGTGGTAAACAACCAGTATGGTTACTGTTTGGGCCCATCCACTCAGGAAGTGAGTTCATGGAGGCTTGGAATCTCCTCCTGAGTTCCTAGACAAAGCCATTCTTGAGAATCCGAAACAGGAGCCCAAAAGGTCTTGGTTCTTGGTGAGCCTGGGACAAAATGCTTCCTAGCTGGCGCCGCGCGCAATGCGTGTCCCTGTTGGTCTTGGGTTCAGCGCTGGCCTGTGCGAGCTTCATGTCAGCCACTGAATATCAGCTGCAACCCACATTGCCCATGTCAACAGTTTTGATGGGTGATCAAGCTACTGCAAGTCTAGTCAGCCATAAGTACACCCCTAAATGCTTAGGCGCAAGGCATTATGAAAGTTGACATCAGAATTGTAGGTCTGTGGTTCATTGGGCTTCCGGAACCCGAATTGTCCCATATTCTCTTGGGGAACACGGCTGGTCTTTGGAGTGACCGAATTGCCCCTGAGACGTTTTGGAAACAACTGACGTTTCCATTGAGCCTACAAAAAAAGGGTCCAACGACCTTTTGCTCAGGGAAGCTTAGAGCAACACAGGGAATATGTCATAATGTTGAATTGCTTTCACTTTGGTTGCAGGTTTTTTTCCCCTTTGTGTGAAGGGGTTGGCCTTTACGATCCACTACCCCCAACAAAAGCGAATACCCTTTGTTTTCCATCTGTGGCTCGGTCCGAAAGCCGTGCAAGCAAGCAACCAGTGGCGCATCCATCCGAGGCATGAGAAGAAGTGCCTGGAGGAATGCCCGGATGGGCGTTTTGGGCACAAAGAGTCGAAGAGCTGCATGCCATGCCGCTCGCCCCAGAGGTTGGTTTGGCTCGGGTTAGTCCCACTTAGCCCAGAGGGTTTCTTGGGGTACCTTCTGAGGATGTAGCCAAAAGCGGTCAAGCGGGGTTCAAAGTAGAAGCTTACAATGTACAAGGTACCAAATGACCCTTTGTAGGGTAACGGGTTGACTTGGGTTCCCACTTCATGTTGATTCCGCAATAAGCAGAACCCCCTCCTATTCATAGGCGGGGGGTCACCAAGTGGTCTGAAACCCAACTAAAAGGGGACACCCAGCTATTAATCAACCAGGAGTTTATCAATGTGGGGTTAACATTAACGGGAACCCCGGATGAAGCAGCACTGGTCGATTTTGCTTGGGGGCGTTCACTGTGGGTGATCCCCCCCTCCATGGCTTTCACTACTAAGGTTCTTTGCGAATCTTTCCTGCGGAGGGCGGGGCGGGGGGCTATGTTTTCAGTGTCCCATCACCAAGCACCTGGGACCCCAAGGTTACTGGGGTGATCAAGCGAAACGATGCCACGAGGTTACAGTATGCCTAAGGTCGGCATGCTAGATTCCTTAGGTCGGTAGATTCTCAAGATATGTCAAGCAACCCCAATGATCCCTTGGTACCTTGTGAGGTTTTACGTTTTGACCCCCTCTCGACTTTTCTTATATACCTCAGAAGGTATATCCAGGGATCCTTTGCATAAAACAACTGCAAACTACCAATTGCATGGTGTTCTGGTAGGAACGGTCGTAGCTCCAAGCTATGGGACTATCCCCGGACTGGACCATAAATCAGACAAAAATACTCTGATTCTCCACGTGTCAGTGACAGTCTCGATATGTGCACCTGTGAGAAGTCAAAGCCAACCTGTGAGAAGTCAACGCCAACCTGTGAGAAGTCAAAGCTTCCCGCAGCCTTTGATACATGATTTGTTGCTGTCAGCAATATTTCTGCTCGTGAAACAAACTGTTCTGAAAAAACATGTGCGGTTCAAAGAACATCCCGATCGAGTTGTCAGCAATCATGCCCGTCGGAACCCATTCCCCGCACAGTACGCTGGATTTGCGCTCATTTTAACACTTTGTTGCACTTGGTTGTGCCGATGTGCGCTCGTTTTGCACTTGTGTTGCGCTCGTTTCGTTGATGACTCTTCCCAAGCTCGCCTCCGTGAATGGACATGAACTTTCCGTTCGTTGATCGCTCTTCCCAAACTTATCGAGCTTGACTTCTGCTCGAAGCCCAACAAAACTGCCCGAGAAAAACATCGCCACAACGTGTCAATCTGTGTAATTATCCAACCAACGGGGAGGCATACATGTTTGCTACGATGAGGCTCCATGTTTTTGAAGTGTCCAGTGATCAATTCACCCGAGCCGCGTCCTCAAGGCCGGTTCGGATACGTGAAGGTTAGCAAGTAAGGAGTCCCATCAATAAAGAGTTGCGGTCGCCTTGCTAACTCTTTACATGATTTTAGCTTCCTGGTGCTCAGTCGGAAATGACCCAGGGTGTTGGGAATGAAGCGGAAGGGGATTCCCTTAAAAGAAACCATAGGGGATGGTTTATGGGGCTCATTCCAACTCATTCCCTGTCTATCGAACTAGCAAGTTTTTGGTACCGATCGGAAATGAAGGTTGACCACCTCCAAGAAACGCCCGGTGCATCACATGTTCTCCTGACCTCAAGGGTATGTGTTTAGGGCTTCCATTTTGACCAGTCAGTGGATCCCAGGAATCCAAATTTATTGTCGGTAACCAATGTTCGTGGTGGTTTTCAAAGGTGTTCTCGTGGTTTTGGGAGGAGGCTTGGAGGTGAGGGTACATACCACTTATATGCATACATACATACATACATACATACATACATACATACATATATATATATATGATAGGCGGGCATATACTGCGGTACAAGCAAACATATTGGCGGTATATCTGACCATTACCTCCGAAATCCCTCTTGCTGGAAATGCCCATTGACTACCTAAGGAACCAACCGCCAGAAACGTGGGCCCTCCAAAAGCCGGGGCTTTCAATCCGGAAAACAACGGGGGCTTGACCGAGGCCACGAGTCTTGCGCCACCTGCCGGGGCCTCTGTTGCTGTCCCTTGTGCCTCTGGGAAACCCCAGAGGTCAACAGGATGTAGCCCAGGGGTTTCCCGTGAGCCCCCGCAAAACCCGGGTACTGTGGAAGAGGGTGGAACACCGACCGACCGAGTAGAACAAACGCTCCAACAATGGAACACCGACTCAGTGAACAGAAGAGCCTTGCGTTTGCAGTCGTGGTTTGACTATTGCCTCACTGCGGTAGACTTAGGATACATTTTGCATTTAACCAGTGACTCAAAGTACAATACAATCGACATTCTACAACTGGGCCTAAGTCTAACGTACAGATTGGCAAGGGATGATCCCCTTGCCATAAATGGGTCCGGATTTCAACCATTTGAACTCTTGAAGCATTTTTCTGGGACAACCTCGCAAGGCACCAAGGGAGCCCTGGCTTATGAATCAATCACAAGCCAGCCCTCCACGTTTCTGAAAGGCAAATGGGATACTGTAGCCCCCCGAATTTCCGGCCCACATAAACCATAAGAACTAGATCACCTCGCCTGGATAATTTGTTCATTTCGCTTGTGAGAAATTTCATTTCGCTTAGAAGTTCCCCACAAAACGATGGATTTAGTGCCGGCGGTTTTCGCTCGGTTTGTTTGTTTTGATTCCTGGGTCCCAAGCCAAGCCAGTTTGGGACGGTCAGCTGTTGCCGCAAATAGCCCGCGAATGGACTGCGAATGGCTGGAAAACGTGCTTGCATGTTCAACCTACGTAGTAAGTAGGCTATACCCGCGGTTATGAGTCAACTACGCCCCGTCCCGCTTTTGGCCATAGTTATGGCCGACTAAGTGCGTGGCTTGAACGTCCAAGTCCGGGAAAGGCAGGCAGCCATGATGGTTTCCACTGGAATGGCCGCTTGCTGGACCTTACTTGCACTATAGTCTGTTCTGGCCGTTACCGCTCAGGCTGAGCAGGGGAGCATTTGTTCATTTGTATGCCTTGCAAAAATCGCGGATCCGCATCGCGGATCCGGAGGTTCAGGCGTTGGGCCTTGTCGGCGACGGAAGCATCTTAGAGAAGCTTCAAGACGTTGGGGTCGATGATGGTACCCCATTACAAGGAATGAACAACATGCTCGCCAATGCCCACGACCAATCACTGAGTTGGTTTGCAGAGGTCTCACCATAGGCACACAAACACACAAACACACAAACAACACACATATTAGACACACATGTTTTTCTCAAAATAGGGGAACCGGAAACAACTGAACATGTTTTTTGGTTTCCCTTACCACCCAGAAGGGTGGGGTCCAGCTTTTTGAGAACCCAATTGAACAGCTCTCGGTCCTGGGCATGACCTGACTCTCCGAGGTTCATCCGAGGAGGTGCGGTGGGTGGGATCCCCACCTACCCTTTCCATTTGCTGAAAAAGAAAAGCTGAAAGGTGTTGTTTTTCCCAGTTCGTTTACAAGGGAATTGATCACTACCGCACATATGTTTCTTTTCTTCTTTTCTTCCAAGGGATGCATCCGCAAATGGAAGCTTTCGGGGGAAGTGGCAGCGAGGGTCCGACTAGATTTCGGGAGGAGGGTTAACGCGAAACCCCTTTAGAAATGTCATGTTCTTTTGGGGGTGTCTTATGGAATATGTCTAGGGCGCAACAAGGATCTGACACGCCAACCGACTCCCATTTGCCCAGGGGCGCGGGTGGGCGGGGGTGGGCAGGGGGTCTGCAAGACTTCCATGATCACATGCCTACACCACCGCTTGCTTGAAATGTATATTGCGTGTTCAAAGCCAATCCGTGCAGTGGATTCCTTGCATTGGTTTGTTTTCTTGAGCGCGCAGCTGCTGACAGGGTGTATGGCAAGAAGATGGGCCTGCAGCCCGCAATTAGAACATCGCACTGTAACAGCTGCGCTGAGGAAGCATGCAACGCAAGCCGGGTTTCAGTTTCCCAGTGGAAGGAGTGCTACATGTTGCTGTGATGCAGGACATATATATATATATATTTTGAGTGGGGAGGACAAGCACTTTGACGCGGCCTGAGTGTTCCAGCCAATTGTCACACGACAGCTAATCGATCCTGAAAGAGTGCTTTTGGCAGCCTTGAAGATACGGGCGATCGTCAAAATCGGGGGCGCAACCCAAAACGGATCCCCAACACGGGTTGATTCCTCTTTTGGGTCGCTTTTGCAGGTAACCCTTGTGAGGCTGTCTGACATTGCGGTGAACTGAAAGAGTGCCGGTTCTAGTAGCCGAATCGGCATGACAATCTATCCCCGGTTCTTGTGGCTCGTTTGGGCCAGTATGAACATAGCAGATAGACTTGAGAGACAGGAAGGAGCTGTCGTCAGGCATCAGCGTTGTTTCTAGTCTTGTAGAATGAAATGATGCTTCCGGTTTATAGTAGGCCTGTGTTAACCTTGTGTTTTAGGATTGTTTATGTTTGTTGCCTGATAGTAGGGTCTACTCATGTTTTGGGGGGCCCGGTGGGGGGGGGGGCAACTGACAAGTTTTGGCCAAGCTAGGGAAGCATAGGGTTAAACTTGGAGAAGCCAACTGCTAAGCCAACTTGCATGAACGCATTCAAAAGGAAAAATGTTTTGAAGGATGCATTCGAGCAGCAAACACTCGTGAGGGATATATATATATATATATATTAACCAGGCTCCCGCCTGCTGCCGCCGACCCTCGGCGCATTTAGGGAAAAGTCACAAGGACCGGTCCTGAAACACGTCCGCAAACCCAGGGACCACTTATAAGATCCTCTACGACCACAAACAAGGATTAACGGAAAAGTCAAAAATATGGCAGCTAGTCCGTTAATTACCGCTTGGGCCGGCTTGCGCCCAAGTCACTTCGAGTTGGCCCGGGAGCGCCCTGAAGCTGGCCCTCCCGAAGTTGCCCTGGACCGGTCGCCGGCAGGGACCGGGGCAGGCTGGTGCCAGTCTGGCGCAGTGTCCTGAAACACGGGTGCCAGTCCGGAAAGGCGTCTGGAGCGGTTTGAGGTGGCAGGACTCCATCCCAGCACCGGCTTCAGTCCTGAAAGCGGTCCTGGCCGGGACCAGTCCCCAGGACCGGTCCCAGGACCGGTGCTGGGACCGGGACCAAACCCCGGTCCTGGACTGGTCCTGGGACCGCTTTGGCTGACTACAAGTAATCTGAAACAGCAGAACCAGGGTCCCAGGACCAGTCCCAGGACCGGTCCCAGGACCGGTCCCAGGACTGGTCCCAGGACCGGTCCTGGGACCGGTCCTAGAAATCCGTGCGTTCGGGCGTGTTCTTCAGGGACTATCATTGATTCCAATCAGTTCCAGTTGCATCCCACGCCGGTCCCCTCTGCAGGAGGCTGGGACGGGAGGCAGAGGGTCGGCGGATATACATGTTTTTATGGGAAAGGACCCGGGGGTTGCGTCTGTGATTTTTGCCGGGTCCAAGTTGGTTGTTTAGCTTTCTTAGTAACCAGGTTATGAGCAAGGTCATGAGGATTAACTGGCGGGGTTGCTCAATTTACCAAAATCATAAGCAAGTTGGCCCATGGCCAACTAGGTCCTCAGTGCCCTTTTACTTTTTTGGGGGAGGGTTCCCCTACTAAAATTGACAAACCAGAAAAAAGTCGGTACCCGTATTCTAAACTCAAATCTGGAGGACCTAGCCAAATACTTCGTGAGCTCGGGAGTGCGCTCGGAAGTCTCTCCGAAGGCCGCAGACTGCCAGAGCTGTCCCTCGGGGCAGTTTTTGCACGAGGGCTGCAAGGAGAGCTGCTCCTTGGTGGAAGTCGGCGGCAAAAACTTGAAGCTCAGATCACCTCACTTCCCCCGAATTCATGGACTTTGCTCACTTTTTGGGTTTGAATTCATCGACTTTAGTATTTGATTTGGTTTTTCACCAGATCATGGGTGTCTTTTTTGGTTGTTTTGGTTGAAAACTCGATGGGTTTCCCTGGTTTACCTGGTGGTTTAATCATCGATCAGGGCCATCTATTTCCCCTAAAGGGACGCAAATCCAGGGCTCAGAGCGCCTCACTTCCAGAGCTGGACTTTAGTCACTCTTTGGGGATTGAACCATGGAACTCTTTGGTTGCCATCCAGAGGCCCCTCTGGCGTCCTTTCTTGAGGCCCCGACCTCTTCTTCGCGGACGGGGACTCCATCTGCAAGCCTCTGGCCGGAGCGGCTGCTCGGAAGCATCGGGTGTCCAGAAATCCATGGGTTCCGCTGGTTTAGAACTGGTTCTCCAGAAAAAAAAAGGCTTGGATGTGGCGAATGTGCGGATCCACCCGTGTAAAACTACCAAAAGATTACTTGCACAGGGACAACCGGGGCGAGAACAGCTGAAATCCAACAAAGAGCGCATCCAGACCGTGTTCTAGAGGTCCTATTCGATTTACCAGAACCAGCTAAAATTTGTTTCCAAAAGGTCACCTATGCCAAGTACCCTCCTTCCAACAACCATGATAGGGCGAAAGGGGTTCCCCAAAAGGAATGCATTGCGAGAGGTTCTCCAAATTATTATGTTTGTGTGAGTTCCCTTCAAACCTCCATGCAGTTCATTTTCAGGACGTTGCTTTAATGCACTCAGTCATGCCCGATTTCTTTGTTCAGCCAAGCCAGCAAAGAAAGGGTGCCTGCTTTGAGCTGCTCCAGTATTGGGTCATTTGCTTCGCATTCCAGGGCGTCCATTCGCCTGTCAATACATGCCTGAGCCTTGGGTCGCTCGCGGCGGGACATTTGCCGGCTAACCATTTTCTTTTTGAGACTTTCTTTTTTCTTTTGGACCATGTTTCTTCCACAAGGACCATTTTTTCCATGTTCTGGCTGTTTTAGGGAGCTTGGATGACCAGAAAGTGATCACGAAACTTGCTGAGGGTCATTCCCTACCTAAGTACCAGGGTAGTTGCCCGAGTTTGAAGGTTTACAAGGGGAGTAATTGGGTGTTTTCTTCAGGCAAAGCAAATCACTCAGCGATTCTTCCCACGGAGAGAATCGCCTCAGCATGGTGGAGTTGCCACTTTCTGTACCAAGGGAGTCCTCCAGAAGGACAAAAGTAGTTACAGGGATGACAACAACTCTCACTTGCCATAGGGAATCGACCTTATTGACGTTTTGGTTTTCCTGTTTTGGGTCCATTTTCACAGGAATTCCTCCATTTCCCTTTTTGGAACCTCCAAAAGGGGCAAATTCAATGAACACCACCATGTTTGTTTGCTTTTGACAAAGACTCCCAGTGACCCCTGCTTTAGACAAGGTTCCAACCCTCCCTCCCTGATTTCATGGACTTGAACCGTGTTGGGTTTGGACCAGTTTAGTGTTAAACACCACGTTCCAGGTTACTTCTTGCGGACCATCCACTTGATCAGAAGTGAGAACAGGTGATCACCTTCTCAGTTGTTCAAAGCGAATTGACGATTTGACATGTTGGTTTTCCCATTTTGGTCCATATTTCGTCATGGCCCCAAAAGGTGATCACCTTTTAGTTCCAGTTTCATGTTTCCACCTACCAGCGTTCCATTTGGGGTACCGATTTTTGACCCACAGCCATCAGAAGTGAGAACAGGTGATCGCCTTTGATTTCTGGGATCCTTTGGGCGACTCAGGTGGTTGCCTTGAAGACGTGCCTTGGATTTGCACGCGAAACCCTGGGGGCTCCCTGAAAGCCATTTGGGGGCTGACTTTTTTGGGGGTAGCCCTTTTTGGGGTGGTTTTGAAGGAAACCCAGCGTTGATTTTGTTAGTTTTTATTTATTGGGGGGGGTCACCTAAGGAAAGACACATCCATTTCATCTGGATGGGAACCTTGGATGGTTCCTTGTCATTCAAAGAATGGCCCAAGAGGACCCAAGCAGGATGATGGATGTTATTTTCGCGGTTCCCAGCCATTTTCTTAGCTTTTCTAAGTTTTTTGGGTTCAGCAGGGATTGCCATTAAACCAACTCAAAGTTAGACTTTTTGCAGGGGATCTGAAAACGGACAGCCCAGTTGTATGAACCGCCAGGGCTTTGCCGGGAATTGTCCATGCCCCCCGTCGTGTTGATCCGGATGGGGTGACCCTGATCCACAGGCCCACGGACCAAACCAGCGGCTTTTCCCATAGGCGGTCGACTTGCTGGCTGGAAGAGACGCAGCTGGAAAGGGACCTGAAAAGGGGGCCAAGTCAGTTTTCCTCACTCGTTGCCTGTGCAAAGAAGCTGGAGGTAAGGAACTTGAAATATCTTGAAACATTGTGTGTTTTTCGGGCGAACAGCCCAACGCACGCCCGACCTGGAGTCTTCTTCCGGCCCTGAACTGGGGTCACCCCAAAGAAAGGGCAGTCCAGGAACCCATGGCCCATGCCCATGGCCAACAAGTGCAGCAATGGTCCTTGGATATGTGATGCATTAAAGGAAACTGAAACTCAAATGTTGATCTTAATTCTTAATGTGGTTTTATTAATCATTAAAGCTTTTTGTGTTGTTGAAAGTTCCTTTTAGATTAGATATGTGATTCCACAGATACAGACAAGTGTAAGTCGTTTAAAAGAAGGAACTGAAAGCAGGTTTTGAAAACTAATTGACTCTCTATATCAGGATCAATATTCTTAGCAAACAACCCAGTGGGATGCGATCCGAAGTCAAAGGCGACTTTGCCCTTTGAAGCTTCCGTTGAGAAAGATCTTGTCGATAAACCAGCGCCTTGACGGGTGTTTTCCCACTTCAGTGTGATCCATGCTTGTTTTCCTTTACACATGACTTTCATTGAAACTCAACCCATTTGTCGGATCCATTTTTGTTTAAAACTAAAAACAAACTTCATTCAAATTCAAGCCATCTGTTCCGAAGTGTTCCAACGTCTTCCTCCGACTCAGGCCTTAAGTCAGGTGATCTGGAGGCCTTCGCAGCGTTTTTTGTTCGCCTTAGGCAGGGGGACAAAGCGATGCTCGTCTACTCCAACGACACCAACTGCGTGAAGCTGGTGGAGTTGGCGGGGGGGATCAGTCAGTTTTCCGACTTTTTTTTTTTCTCCGCCCTTCATGTGGATGGACGAAATCCATTTCGCACCTCTTTGAAACATGGGAAACCATTTGTTTGTTGGTATTTACAGGGGAATCATCCTTCCAGGGAATCTTGGGTGGTGCGAAATGGATTTTCGACCAGTTTTCACCCCTGCTACTCTGGATGGTTGCGAAGTCCATCCAACGCACCACCGATCCAAACTCCTGGTGTCTGATGATTCCCCAACCTAAATACCAACAAAACAATGAATTCAACCATGGTTTCTAAGTTGTGCGAAATGGATTTCGTCCATCCACAGTATGAATGCAGAATGGACGTTAGGACCCGACTTTCCTTGTCGGGTCCTGGAATTTGGACAACATGTCCGTTTCAATCCACCTTAAATTTGTTGGTTTTGGTCAGCTTCCATGTTTGTTGCGGGGAGGCTAATGTTGACTTTATGTTAATTAACCAACCAATTTAGGAAAATAAGAGGGTGGGGTGGTTTTGGCCCCTTCAAAAGTGGTTTGATTTTAACCACTGAACCTAGAATTGGACATGACTTTATTGATAAACAGGGGTTGATTAATCTGGGGCAAAACCCTGCACCAGCTGCGAATGGTGTACCAATATTTCTTGGGGTGCATCATTCTTAGGTGCGAAATGGATTCTGTCCATCCACTGTATGAATTTCTCCTTATCTCATGCCCGAAGTTCAGAAACATCAAGTGAGCCACAATCAAAACCCGGGTAGATGAAGGTTAGCAAGGCGCAGTCCCAGCCAAAAATAGTTGCGGGCACGTTCTTAATTCTTTACATGGTTCTGGGTCGACCATTTTAATACCGGGTTTTGATTGTGACTCAGGTGTACTTATAACCTATGGCCATGGCGCCAAAAAAGTGATGCTGAATCGATAAATATAAAGACCTTCCTTGTACGCCAAGTCAACTAGCCGCCACTGTCCCGCCTACAATTATGGCTATATCCTTGTCTTGTGGTGTTGGGCGAAATACAACCCTCACAGCCCCTTGGTACCTTGTGAGCTTGTACCAACTGACCCCTTTTTGGCCCCTTGTTGGTACGGATCCCCACCCCACAAACCGAACTCGTGTCCCTGTGGGGCAAGCTTCGACCCGGATGCCCTGCAACATGTGGGGGTTGTAGATTGAGCCCTTAGGCCAACTCCCTTGAGACGGTGCCATTTTCGAGACATGTTTTTTGGTAGATGATCAGAAGGTACTAAGGGACTCGCTGGGCATCGGAACAACCCTTTTTGTTCAAAGGGTCAGGAAGGCAGGTACAGTAGATTCCGTCCTACTAGTCGCTTGGGCTCGGGACTCATCAAGACTTGACTAGTCCAAGACGAAACGGGGTTCCCAGTTTCTAGTGGTCCTGTCACTTTTCGGTCGGTAGGGAAACGATGGTTCTGGTTTCCATTGCGACGGCTATGGAGAAATTGGGCAATCCAACAGAATATGCACGAGCACAAGCCACGGGCAGGTTCAACTTTGCTGAAACTCTTCAAAACGCAGAGCTGCAGGTCGATTGTATCCTGGGTCCATTCGGTCGTAGCCCATGAGTGCCCATTTGGTCAATTCGCTTTGGCAGGATTGCTGTGGGTGGGACCTGTTTCGTTTGGGTAGCCAAATTGGGAAGGATACAGTAGCCGTATATCCGGTTCGTGGTTTGCGTGGTGCGGGCTTAACCTTCACACCTAACAAGGTATCTCCAACCCTGACTGATGAATCCCTTGAGCGTGGGATCAACCTTGTGGGCAAAAAAAACCACTGGCTCACCGTCCATTTGCTGACAGGAAAATATTTCGTCAGATTCCCTATCGGTTTTTCAGGAAAATCGATCGCTCCTGAAAATGGTGTTTGGTTTCCCCCGGAAGCGAAGAAGCCAATGGCCCGGCTATCCTTTTCTGGTCTCACTCCCTGAGTTCCTGGACATGAAACTTTTTGGGTTTGGACCATGTTGATGGTAAGCGCAGATGGAAGTCACTTGGAAGTTGAGTTAACTTGCAAGATGGAAGTAACTTGGCAAGCGAAGACCAAGTTAAGACCATGTTTATGGTCAGGTGTTTCTTCATTTTCAAGGAAATCGATCACTACTGGAAATCTGTGTTTCTATTTTCCCCTCAAAAAGCATAACTGGAAGGTAGCTTGATCCAAGATCCCAGTGGCTTGCAGCTCTGCGGAAGCCAGTGGCAATCTCATAAGCAGTGTTTCATTTGATTTGTCCAAACGCGGCCAAACATTTTTTTGTTTTTTTTTCCTCCGGTGGTTTGAACGCGAAACCAAAAGGAATACCCGCCATTTGGAGGGTCCCATTTAAAAAAAAAAACAACATGTCCTGATGTCTTAGTTAGAGCATTGAACCGATTCACAATCTTCCTGACTACTGACCTGGACTTAAGCGGTTTTTTTTCAAAATAGGTGTCCCCTTGCCTGATACTGTGGATGGCAACACTCCTGCACTGCAGCACCTAAGATTCCCCTGTAAGTACCATGTCAACCATGGTGTCGTTTGGTGGTGCGAAGTGGCTTTCATCCCATCCACGGCATGTCAGCGGAAAGCCAAAAAAAACATCACGTTCCAAACTCCCAGCCCCTGGCAAGAGGCTTTTTTATCCTCCCGCGAGGCTGGGGACGAGCAAGAGGATCCCTCCAACATCGATGACGAGTCGCCCCTTTGGTCAAAAGATCGAAGGAAAGTTCGAACGCGGATGTCGTGTTTGTACTTCCTTGTATTTGGCAACATCGCCTTCTGGGGCCAATTTACAGGGGGGACTCCTTTTGGGGTTATGCCGCATGCCTAAAGGGGAAATCTAGGGAATCATGAGACCAGACCTTGAGTTATTTTCTCACTCTATGGGTTCATGGACTTTCTGCTTTTGGGGTTTGGACTATTTTAATGAGAAACACTTTATTTTAAGCCTTTTTTGGCCAATCAACTCGATCGGAAGTGAGTTTTATACTAATTGTGGGTTGCCAGAGTCAGACAATCTTTCATTTTCTGCGTACCCCAGATGTCGTTGCCAAGCGACTGTACATCCCCCCACCCATAAAGGATTCAGAGAAACGCTGAAGTTGATGTTTGACAGTGCCTGGAAGAAGCTTTCCTATGACTCCTTTATGGGTTCTCAGTAGGGAATTTATCGGGGGATTTGGAAATGTAACCGGAAACCACAAGTTGGATGGTTTTTAGGGTTCATTCCCTCATTCCCAGTTTTTATGCGGAGAACGTACAGGGGCTCTAGGCATTTGGGGACCCCTGACTGGTCTTGAAAGGGAAGCTGCTTTTTGTTGAGGCGGGTTGGTTGAAGGGAAACCAAAAAGCACACCCTACAAATAGGGTCCCGTATGTGGATGCACATCATCTTGCACCACCTGAGAAACCACCTGGACTATCCGTTACCAATCTTCATCTACTTGGGTTTTGACTTACTGAACCCCTTGGGGCGCTTTCTTCAGTCGACTGGATATTCAGTGCATGGCGGAGAACTCGGGTCGCTGGTTGGACCCTGATCTCTTCCACACATGTAGGCTACCCTGAAATTATATTATATGTCAGTCAACCCCTGACTCACCAAGAGAAGTCTGATTACTGACTTATTAAGTATATAGGTGGAACGTCCAAGCACTTCACGGACATGTTGATCCACCCAGCTGGCGATTGAAGTTGTTGGCGGATGGCCAGTCCAACCAATCATCCTAGCCGGTAACAGAAATGATCTGCACCAGCAAGAGGGGACGCCTGAAATGAACATGGATGGATTGTTTCTTTGGCTTTCCTTCAAGCACTTGTCCGAAGGTATTTGCCCCAAACAGAGTGTGCTGTTCGAGCATGTCGGGCGTGCTTTTCTTGAGGGTATGTTGTTGTTTTTTGTGGTTTTAAAGGGACGCCACGAGCAAAACCCACCATTTGGGTCCCCATACAGAAAGAGGCACCCATAGACAGGGCTGTTTGGTCAAAACCAATGGGATCCCATTTTGGGGTACGTGCACCACCCATTTTAGAACCTATTTTAGTGGGGCTTGGGATGTTCACTGGGGGTAAGGGATTTTGACCCACAGCCATATGGTTTGTTGTAATCCGTTCCCCCTATTAATAAAGGTCTCCCTAATAATAAATATTTGTTTCGGAAGTCCCAAATCCGGGAATACTACTTTTAGAATAGCCAATACTAAACCAATTCTAAAGTAGATATTTTTCTGCCCGTACTCAAATCCAGCCCCATTAGGGGGACCCCGGGGGCACGTTTCCTTTACTACGGCTGTACTACAAAGTTGCGACTTTCGAGCCAGAGCTCCAGGAGCACGTTTCCTTTACTACGGTTGTACTACAAAGTTGCGACTTTCGAGCCAGAGCTCCGGGAGTACGTTTCCTTTGAGAACCTGCCCTCCAAAACCTGCCCTCCAGAACCAGGGGACCCCTAATAATAAAAATTGTTTTGCAGGCCGGGTATTTTTTTTATTAGGGAGGGGGGGGGGGGGGCGTCGTTTATTATTAGGGGGAAGGGATTACAGAAAACTTCTGACAAGCGTTCCTTCGGCTCCTGACACTGGTGTTTCATTTGGCTTGGGACACATGGACGGCCCAAGCTTTGCACAGCGAGGAAGATGTGGATGGTCGCCGGGACCAGCAAGAATACTGCTTCCTTCCGAAATGCAACTGGGCGTGGCAGAACGCAGGGCTTTCGTAGGGATTTTTGCCAGAGAAAGGGGGTGTGGGGGGTTCTCAAAGTAGGTGTCCCTAAAATGGCAGGCGTCCCTTTGAATACCAACCAAAAGAGCCCTCAAAAAGGGTGTGGAGGAAAGCCGAACAAAAGGACCAACCGCGCAAGTAGTAAGCTAAAGGGAATCAGCGGCAGCTTCTGACTTGCATAGACACCTTTTGTCAGCTGGGAACATGTCTTGAGGTTTTGAGGGACCTGGATGAGCAGTTGTTGACCCTGTTTGCGGACATAAATATGAAGTCCTGAGTCCCCAAACGTGTAGGACCCTCTTTGCAGTGGGTCTCTTCATCTTGCTCGCATGATTGCTAGCTGTACCGTTCTGTTGTAGGAATCCTCATGTTCAGAAAATGGCATTCTGGAGCGATGAGTGAATTTGCAATCGATTCTCAACGGATGGATGTTGGGATCAACCTTAGCACTGCCCATTTTGGTTGGTCTCCTCTACAAACGCTCGCAGCGGGAACTTGAATCTACCTCTTACCATCGGGAGATCAAGCACTGTGCCCTTCGAACTTGCAGTTATTGCTCGACAAGAAAACATATGGTTGCATTTCACCATGTCAGAACGTTGTTTTAAGACTCCCGTCTTAGGGAAACCAAACGACGACCGTCTTTTGTTTCTTTCTTCTGAAGTACCCCTTGGGCGCAATCCCAGGTATGTCTTCCCAACACAAATTACCAAGATCTTCTCTTTGGGGCTGGGTTAGACACCAGGCCGGCCTTTTCCGGCCCCCCTCTCATGGGAAAAATGGGAGACATGGGTGTGTCTTGAAACCGGGGCGAAAAATATGAGTTGCGTTCTTTTGGTTTTCCTTTGAACCAACAGTTCCACCCAAAAGGATACCGGGAAGAAAAAAAACACGCTCAATATATCATGCTGGGTATCCGGGAAAATAGTCGGTATGTACGTACGTTTTAAGGGGCGGGTAGTGGTTTTGGGACACTGGCAACTGCACCAGGGTAAGTGGCACAATTCCCTTGGTGGCTCCTTAAAACCGACAGCTCGGTAAACAGCAGAGATGACTAAGCCATAGTTGGGGAGTTGTGCCATCTATCAGGGAAACCAACTAGCAGGGATACAGGGGGAACCAGGGATACGGGAGGATTCCCCCTAAATGCACCTTGACTAAGTTTGATAGGAAATGGCCCCAAGGGAATCCCTCCATATCCCTGCTTCGTTTGTCCCAATCTACCCTGCCAGTCCTCACCTTGCCTTCATGTTGGCAGGACCATAGCTTTCACCCATCGGATTTGTGCCATTTGGTTCTGGGAGTGCTCATGTGCCAACCCGGGGAAAGGCTTGTTCCTTTTGGTTTTACCCAACCGTACCCTCAGAAAGACACCCAACTGGCAATCAGTGGACAAGATTTTGAAGGAGGTCATCGACCACCCGCAGTTTAGGCACCTTCTAGTACTTTCTGATTTCTGAATAGCCCATATCCGGTTCGTTTCATTGTTGGACAACTTTCGGTGGACGGCCGGCTTTTGCCCACCCCCGTTTTCGGTCCACCTTCGCTTGGAGGATATTGTTTGTGTTGGGTTCGGGGAGGTTCAAGTATCTCCGTAGGTTTTCCGGGACCCTTAGGTGCAACGCTCGCCCCGAGCCCAGATGTAGCAATCCTTTTGGCTGGTTCCTCCGTTGCTTTGTGCACGCAGATGTCATGGCACACATCCCCACCGAAGTAATGTATGGGAGGGGAAACACAGTTCTACCCCCCCTAGATAATATATATATATATAAACAATTAATACAATAACAATCAGGGGACCTGCCCCTCACAAAACAAAGAACTCAGAGGACCCGCCCCTGTTCCCTTTGAGGAAATGGTATGCAAGGGCTCCCGGAACCCTACGCTTCTCGTTCCTGCTTTTTGTTGCCACAGTTCTCGAGGTGAAGACGGGCTTGGCACTGCAGATGCCACTCGCTCGGACAGTCCACCCGGTTCAGAGAAGCACAAGGCCCAAGGGTTTGCCTATGGGATTTGGACCCTCAAGTTGTGTGGCTTTAATGGTGCTTCCTGGGAAAACAACCCCAAAAGGGTACCATAACAACACGCAAAACAACACCCCCCCCGCAAAAAAAAACAAAAACGGGTACCACAAAACACACCCACATAGAATCATATAGAAGACAACAAGTAGCTCTACAGTTGGGTGTATGCAGCTCAAATGGGTGTAGCACAAGATGAATCTGTTTTGTTTTGGTGGGTGCTCCTGGAATGTCGAGTCCACATTCATCACCCAATGATGATCCCTTCGCCGATTTCTTCTTCTAGGTTTGTGAATTGGGGTCGCTCACGCCCAGACAGATTGTTTGGATGCAAGTCGAATGCGGAATTGGAGCGTGCAACTCCCAAGTTAGTGTCATTTGTCATTTTGATTGTCGGTACCCCTTTTTGGTGATCTTAAAGGGAAACCACTTACGAACATCCAGGATTTTTTGGGGAACAACTGCAAAGAAAAACCATCATCTCTGATCCAGATCCCATGGGGTTCAATCCAAAACCCAAGGAAATAGGTCGGCCTCGAGGTTCAAGGCCTGTTTTTCAAACGGCCAGGTTCCGAAAGGACCGAAAAAATACCGTCTTGCTGGTGCTCCATAGGGAATGAGCATGGAACGACCCCCCAGAAACCCATCGCCGCGATCCTCTGGTGTCCCCCTTTTTTGCGGGAATCCCCAGACCCGGTTTTATCAAATCCCGGGCTCGGAAAGTCATTCCCCGGCTATCGCACCAGCAAGTCCAGGCACCTTTTGGTCACTGGGCATGTGGGTGTGAAAAAGCGATGCTGTGTTCAGTGCGTAACTATCTGGTCACTTGGTCAGTGTTTCTTTTTGCTATGGTCACAACCCACACGTGCCACTCACATCTTTAGTTGTCAATCATGTTCCTTGCCAGCCCCCAACAACTGCTTTTTGGACGGTACTGTGGGTTTTGGACATGTCTCTGTGTCTTTTTGCCATGTTTAGTTGTCAATGGTCCAAAGCCTTCAAAGACATGCGGGATTGTGGAATCCCTAAAGGGGGGATGGTCCAAGATAAGTGGTTCTCCAACAATGCCTAAGGAACCCTAGGGAACCCTCAAGCTCTCAACTACCCACCCCACTTGCACCTCCCCCTGCTAGGGCGCTTAGGGGTTCCACAACGGTAGGAAGCTGTGCAATATGTGCAGAGAACCTGACTACTTGTCATGGCTGCTGACCATGCCCGATTCAGGTAGTGTCACCGGTCGCATTTACCACGTGCAATCATGTGTTTTTGATGCAACATTGTATTGTGATAGCGAGGACATCCACAACTCCCAACACAATCAGCAACCCAACACACATTACTACCCCCAAGGGAGAATGGGGTATATGTGTGCCTTTGTTACTGTACCTACCAACATGTCTGGTTTCGTGTTCCCCTTAAACCCACCGAAAAGAGGGGTTCGCAAAAAAACATACACCCGTATCAATCCACGAAAGGTTATGAATACTGGCTTCCTAGCTTTTCTCTGGCGCCCCCTTGTGAAGTGCTTTATGGCTCTCACCTTACAAGCGAGTCGTGGCTGGATTGGGAGAGTTCCGGGAAGGATCTTGGAGATTCGCTAGCGCGCAAGGTTAAGGGCAATATAATGTTTTTTTTTGTATATGCCCAAACCTGAAGATGATCTGGAAGAATACTGTAACCACTCAGTCTCCGGCAACAAAATGACTAAATATGGCCTAGATATGTCTTTGAAGAATAATCAGGAACCGTAGAGGTCTCGTCGACGTAGGTACGATTTAGTGCCCAGCGGCTCTTAGGACAACCCATCTACCCCATGTATAATCCATCTATGCCCTATACTGTGGATGGGCGAAATCCATTTGCACCACTTGGAAACCAAGGTTGACACTTGTTGACACCATCGTTTGTTGGTATTTGCAGAGGAATCATCATTCCTGGGTTTCTTATCCGCAGTATGGCCGGATTCCAAGGAATCACCATTGAGGGAAGAGGTACGTGACTTGGTGGCTCCCGTCTCTTTAGCAAGGGATCTGAGGACAGCCAAGATGACGCACCAGATACAAATCATAGGGCCTGGGGAGGGAGGGCCTGAGCTAGGGCGCGAATTCCAAGCCTTCCCATCTCTCCGAGCTGCGGCATTGCTCAAGTTAGTGTAAAGGCCTTCTTTTTGCTTTGAGAATGTTTGTTCATTTTTCCCTGTTGGTTTTAAAGGGAATCTAAGATTCGGAATCTACCACTGCTGGATTTGTTTCATTTTTTTCCAGGGGTCTTAACCAAATGGAAGAGGCCGCCGGTCTTTGCGGGCCACCGGGCCGTGGATTTTTCATATTTTCATACCGAGGCCGAGCTCGGAGCTTTCGCAGTTGGACAATTCTGGCTGTGCCACGGACTGGGGGGAAGGATTAGAAATCAGACAGGAGTCCATGTATGGTGAGTTGTTTTTCTTTCTCTCCCCGAGTTCCTGGATTTTGTTTTTTTTTGGGTTTGTCCATTTTAATTAGTGGCGAACACAAACTTTGGACTTTGTTTTGCCCATCAGCTCAGTTGCCCATCAACTCAAGAAGTGAGTTTTAGGGGACCCACTAAGTAGTGGGTTTTCCTTTTGGTTTCAAACCCGTGTTTGGTGGTACTCAACATGACCTTTTCGGTCCCTGCAAGTAAGTTTCCTTCGTTAGCCTGTTCGGTAGGGGTGATGTTGTAAGAGGAATATCGGGAGCCCTGTAGACTTGAATGTTCAACCTACTTTGTAAGTAGGCTGCACATGTCAACCAACCCCTCTTGTAGATGCCACTTAGATGCAACAAAACTGCTGTTAAGATGTTGGCACGCGCATGAGTGCAAGTGCTTGACAGGCTTGGTTACCATTCCAAGGATTGATTCATCACATACATCCTTGTTTCGAAGATCATGATATATGAAGGAAATGTCATGATTCAACCCGGCTTACCTGACGTAGATTGACAAGGGGGTCCAACCCCCCTGATCGAGCCGAAGGTGGTTGTCCCCCAATGGAATCCCTTTGAAACAACCCACACAAAAGAAATCTGCAAAAACGACAAAACCATATCGGTCAAGTGCAGCCGGACCATAAACCACGGCGGAATGTCCAAGAAGAACAGAGTAGGGTGTAACCCTGTGGTTGTGTCCATTTCGAGTGTGGGAAACCAATGTCGAAATCCTTTGAGGCGTGCCGTGTTTTTGTGGGGGATGGCGCTTTCCTTTTTTTTTGGAAGCCCTTTTTGGGTTGGCTTGGGAGTCCACAAGGAAACTACTCATTTAAGGGTTTCCCATGTGACAAACCCGCAGGTTTCTAGAAGTGAATGAGATCTCGGAAATCATACCCAGTGGATGCAAGGCAAGCCACTGCAGTGGGTAAGCCATTTCCCTCCTGGTTTTTGAAGGGTGGCAAGCCCTTGGCTACCCAAACAAGGGACATGGAATCCCGCTTCGCTTGGAGTCCCTGACAGATAAGCGCACCTGGGACCAAACTGAGCTTTTTCCCTATTGAGAAGATCCCAAGAGGGCGTCCTCACTTGCCCAAAGCGAATCGACTAACATGACCTTTGGGTCTCCCACTTTTTGTCATTTTGTCATGGCCCCAGAATGCTCACCTTTATACTAGGTCCCCCAGTAGTGCCCTGTTTCCCCTTTTTTTTGGGGAGGGTTCCCCTATTAAAATCGACTACAGAAAAAAGGGTACCCTTATTCTATCCTCTCTACTGGAGGACCTGGTTTATTTCTGCGTCCTTTCGTAACCGGAGTGACTGAGTGGGGATTCCTCATCTCGTTGCCTGCCAGTTGCCCAAATTTGATGGGCAAAGCTTTGTTCTGATTCGATGCAAATGGTCCTCGCTTGCCGTTTTTGGCGCTTGGAAGGGGGACGTTTCCCATGCCGGGGGCATCCAAGTTTGCTTTCTTAAGAGGGAGCCTTTCGGAGCCGCCGCTCGGAGTTCTTGAAGGGTAGGGCTCCTTAAAAAGATCTCCATTTTGCAACCATTTGAATCATGTTGCTTTTTCAACACCAAAATAAAGGGACACCTACATGTACAAGCCAATGTTCAGGTGTATAATGTAAGGATCCCTGAAAAGGTTGGGAGATTCGACCGCAGGAGATCAACACCTGTGCAGTTGCACGGCCACCAAAGCCGGCCGCAGACCCAAGCGAACCGGACGCGTGCGCATCGGGGGGGGGGGGGTTGGGGATGCGAGGAAGCAACCTCTCCAAAATGGGTCGGACAACCGTCCGGCTGCGAACTAGCCCATGGTTGGCTTTCTCCAAAACCAACAGATGCGATGGGATGGGATAGGATGGGATGGGATGGGATGGGATGGGGTATTTGTGTTTAGTTTCTGTTTTGCAGACTTTGTATTGAACACCCGGGATTGTTTTGCGAGTTGAAAGCATCAAGTTGTCCCAGGGTGCGTGGGCTACAGCTCAGGCAACAACACCCAACGTGGAAACAACACCCAGCTCATGGCGAGCGAGAAGACAAGCGACATGTGTCTCCAAAAAGGAAGCCCCAAACTGGGCGAAGTATTTCCAGGGGTGATTCCCCATTCCTTTCAACCATCGTTCTTTTCAAAACCAGCTGTTTACTTTGGTTGTTTTTGATGGTTTCCTGAAAAGCAGGATCCCTGGAAAGAATGGGGAAGGTACCTGTATTGCTTTTCTTCCATTGAGCATACTGCGCGTGGAAACAAAACCAAATCCATTTCGCGACACCGAAGAAATTCTGTGATTCGGCTGTAAATACCAATGTATGTGTTATTTCTTGATGCGTTTCGAAGGGAACCCAGAGGGTTGGTTTGGTACCTTCTGAAGCCGTACCTCAGGGGTCAAAACAGGTTCAAAGGACAACGTCACAAGGTACTAAGGGACATTTTAGTGGAATCTGTTCCCGTCTCTGCCTTCGTGTTCTGCGAGTTTGTGCCAGGAAGTCTCTGCATTTTGCCAAGTCTGACATTTGTTGCTTGATTCTCATCTGAGTTTGTCTCCAAATCGGGAGCCCCGGCATGGGTGGTTTCCCTTTAGTTCCTGTTCCGCCAACCACGAAAAACATAGCCAAAAGAAACGATCACACCCATATTTGTCTGTAAACTTTTTGGAAGCCGCTCCCCGTGAGACACCCATTTGCTTATCCAATAGTGTGCTCCATGGCGTTTGTGCGGTGAAGGGGTCTTCCATTCCTAGCGTGGGCAGAAACAATATGTTTGTTCATTCAATTCAGATTCATGTGTGGCAGGTCTTCATTGACTTGCCTTGCTCATACTGTTGAACAAAACATACTTGGAACCAGTCAACCACCAGCAACTGCTTTTTGGACAGTACGTTGGTTTTTGATGTTTTTGGGAAAACAAGCAGTTGTTGCGCGGTGCTGGGTGAATTATGGTTGAACCAGCTACCAATAGGTGCTGATCGGCGTAAAGTTGATCCATCCACAGTATGAGGTTCACGATACGCCAAGGTCAACCTCGCTTGACGAGATTATGGATGGTCATTTGTCGAAAACAATGCAACTGTGGGGGGCTTTTGGCCAACTTGCCTAATGTTGACCCCAGATTAATACACGGTTGATTGTTGGTGGGGTGTCCCCCTGTAGTGGGAATCCTCGCTTATGTCGCTTGATTATTCCAGGGTCAACAGTATATGGGTGTTTGTTTGTTTTTTTTTAACGCACCCCCCCAAATAGTGGTGTCTGGTTTCCCTTGAAACCCACCAAAAAGGGGTACCACCCCCTTCCCCCCAAAATGGAAAAAGAAAAAGGGAAAAGCACAAAGACGCAGCCATGTTTGTCTTGTTTGTCTTCTTTGAGGTACCCTGTTTGGTTTCAGGAAGCCAAGGTAAAGGAACCGAATGGTGCTGGGGTCATTGTCATGGTTTTACACCAGTTGTAACACAAATGACTTACATTTGCACATGTTTGCATGACTCATTCACTCATACATATTCAGGCCTTGTCACATTCCTTCTCCACGGATGCAGATGCGTCACTCCAGAGTCGCATCGGCCGTGTGTGTGTCTTGTCTTTGCCGTCTGGAGGCCTGAAACGGGCACACAGCAAAGGCACATGTCCGAAGGTCGGGCACTGCTCTGGATTCAACCAGCTCGTTGTCTCTTACTGGGATTTGCGTACGACCTGCCTTGGCTGGTGCTCTGGCAATACGGGAACGACCATATGGGTATGGGTCAAGATTAAACCGCCAGGATATGCACCGCAGGTTTTAGTCCTTGGTTCCATTTACCAAGGTTTCATTTTGAGTACCTATTTTGACCCACACCCATACAAACACTAGCAAGTTGTAAGGACATACAAATCAACACTTGATGGCTCGCCCGTTTCCAGAAGCTCGCGGAGCCAAGTCTTTCAGATCTCTAAGGCTATAGGATCTTTGGACTACTTGGTTGAAACAGCTTGGGATTTTCCATACAGTGAGCAACTTTTCCAGAGGGGTTGTTACAGCAGCTACCCTCCCGCCAATTTAACATGGAACCTAATGGTGTTCCATGTTGCTTGGTGGGAGGGTAGCTGCTGGTTTCTTGCAAGAAGCTGTTCTGTCTGGGTGGGTGTATATTAATATGAAAGCTCCGAACTGTCTCAACCAACAGGCTACAGTTGTTTTTCTACAGGGGTCTGTGCAATTGCATGTTGCTTGGTGGGAGGGTAAGTTTCGTTCTCGGCAAGCTCCGATTCTGAGATTCCCGGCGAGACGTCTCTATGGACCGACAACCAGTGGGGCGTGTGCCACACGGCTGCATTCAGTGGTTTAGAACGTGGGGAAGCGGGTCCTCGTGGACCAAGGGGGCCTTCCCTTATTGTTGACCCCATATTACTCAACCCCAGTTTGTTAAAAATGGGGGTGTTCCTCTCCAAAAGTGATGAATCCCAAAACCAAAACCAGAAGAACACCCATATTAATAGGCAGGTTGGTTTATTAATATGGGGTCAACTATGTTAGCCCCAGGCCTTACTAAGGGCTTCTCGATGGCTTGGACTTATCCAAAAATATAGGCCCCTAGGTCCATTCAACATGCAAGCGGGGCAGGCATGGATCCAACGCGTCCATCAGCACCGCATATTGGCAATATATTTGAAAGAAACAAATCATGAAACCAAGCACTGGCAAAAAGGTGGTCAGATGAAAGCAAACACTTGCATTGCTGCGTTTCCCGAAACGGGGCACCTTGGCACCAGTCAGGAAGTGGTCCAAGAGTCCAAGATCAAAGAAACGAATTGGTGACCCGAAAAGGGTTCTAGCAGATGGGAGCGCGCACGCGCGCGCGGGTGTGTAAGTGTGTTTGTGGTTGTTTTTGAGGTTAACATTTTAGCCTAGTTTCAAGGGGAGCGAAAAGGAACACCGCCATTGTTCGGGTACCCCATAACTTTCATTGCTTAGGAATATTGTGTATTTTCCATGTTGGTTGGAAAGGGATTTTGTCACTACTGGACATATTTTCTCGTTCTTTCCATTTCCAGGGGCGACAAAAACTATGACCTTGTTGGCCCATAGGTGAGTTTGCTTTTGGTGGAGCGATGCTTCAAGGGGAAGTATGGGGATCCCAATAGGGAGACCCAACTGAGGTTGACTTTGGAGGTTTTGGTTTCGTAGTCTGCAAATAAGTGGAACCGTTGTTTGAAGGGGTAGACCCACGCAAGGCTTTGGTGCATGTTGCTTGGATGTTAGGACTTTAACTTTTTGCCAACCAATGGGGGTTCCATTAAACCACTACAAGTATCAACAGGTGTCTCCGGCTGCGCATAGCGGGCCGTAGAGGCAAGCGGATCGAACAAGCGTGCGGTGAAACCACTAAAAGTTAGTCACTTTTAGCGGGGGAGCAGAAAGCAATCGAGAAGGGTCCGGTGCCCTCTCTCTCTCTCTCTCTCTCCCTCTCAGACAAATGCGACAAGAGCAGCTTCGGCATCACCTCGCATGGCTGGGGCCCCCAAAGTTGCCGATGTCGGCAGAGAGATGTGAGGGGGGGAGGGTCAGAACTGGGTTTTTTTCTAAGAATTCCCAAAGCAACCAAACGTTTTTTGCTTTAACAAAACACATATGTTTGCGGATTTTAAAACAAAACACATATGTGTGGGGGGAGGGTTCTAACCCTCCTAACAAAGGGATAGTAGGCCCAGATCATGTTTGCTCACATTCTCGGCTGTTTCCCAACTTGGTTTCGCTTTCAAGAGGCGATTGTCCGGTTCACGCGAATTTGAGCTCCTTGGGTGTTCGATTCGCCGAGTTAGCTGTTGGAGACGGTTTGGTTAGCACCGACCCGTTAGAACAATGGCCACAGGTACTGTGGTTTACTCAGTCAAAGCCTTCGAAGAGGGCCAGCTGATGGTTTACCCAGGTAGATTCTCCTCATTTGCACATCTTTTATTTGTGTGTGTGTTTGGTCATTTTTTATAGAGCTGGCTACCCATTTGGGGCTTGTTGTGCATGAAAAGCTCAAGAGGAAAGCAAGAACCCCCCTCCAAAATGGGCGGTTCCGCACCTTTGAGACAGGCCGGTCCCTTTTGTTTTAACTGACTGGCGGAAGGAAACGCGCCACCATGAGTAATCTCAGACAATCCGTGCAATATATACGAACATCTGACCCATTTTGAAGGTTTAGTTGTGGGTGTGTATATATGTGTTTTTCCTACATGACTTGTCTGGGAATCGCGACTTGCTTCATGTGAAGACGCCGGAAACCAAACCAAAGCAGTTTGTCAGAACGCCAGGGCTCGTCCTTTTTGAGAGTCGATACCCGTTTCAACCCTTTTTGGGGTTAATTCGAAGAGAAACCGAAGAAAAACGACTCATTTTGGGGGAGTCCCCTAAAAAAACAACAACAACCGAAAATGTCGGGTAGCTTGGGTCGCATTTCAATTTCATTATTGACCACTGCTTCATTTCCGATCCCCTTGCGCGGAGACAAAGAAAAGGACGGATCGGTGCAAGACCTACAGGTTGGGATGGATGTCTTGGTTCCACTTTTTTTGTTGGAGAACGGCCACCCAACATGGTTTGTTTTTTCCTTGTGGTTTTCCTTAAAAGACGGAAGATGGGGTACCAACTCCAAAATAAGAGCTGACGAGCCACCCAGGTGTTTGGTTCCCTTGTCTCGGGTCTTAGCCTCCTTTTGTGGGTTCCATGCCAGGCGGGAGGCTGGATGCTCGTTGCCAAGATAGAAAGTGGTTAGCCACTTGGCTATGGGTCAAAACCCAAATCGTACCCCCAGTGAACATCCCAATCCAACGACTAAAGTAGACTTTTTAAAATGGGTGGTGCACCTACCCCAGAATGGGATCCCATTGGTTTTGACCCACGGCCACTTGGGTTATAACCCACATTTAAAAACAAGATAGGTCCCACTTTGGGGGACTTGTGAGTGGGTTACAACTTAAGTTGCCAACTTACTATGTTGGAGAATTGAACACCCAAGTCCATGCAGAACCGGTTCTCACCTCTTCGATGCGGAAGGTCGGACGTTTTGCTCCTGGAAGCATCGGCTGAGGCAATTCCATCATCAGCCTGTCTCTGGAAGATCGCCCGGGCAATCAGAGTGACTAGGGAATGAGAGAATGGGGGATGGTAAAAGGGGGGTTCCCAAGGCTCCATGAGGAACCCCACAGAATGCTAGGAACTACCCACCCCCCTTGTACCCTTCCCCCTTAGAGATTTCATATCTGTGGGGTGTCCTTGACCCACAAAAGGTACCCGAAAAAAAAACGACGAAACGAAGAATCATACAAAGGACAACTCTGCCTGATTGAGAGTTGTGTGGGGCCTGTTGGTTGATGTTAAGCCGTCCTTAAAAGAAATGCTGGTTGACGGTTTGTCACAAAGTTTTGGGACACTTAAATGATTCTTTTTCTGGTCGTTTTCCTGTGAAGCAAACACCAAAAAGAGTCACTTTCTATTTTTCCGGACTTGAACCACTTTTGGAAAACATGTTGGACCCAGTGGATCCATTTACCTGTATAGAAGGGAACCAAGGGAACCACCCTGTAAAAACAACAGGACAATACCTGGTTACCTACTGTAAGGGTAACTCGGATCCACTGGGGGAGGTAAGCATTCTCCAGACATCGAGTGGTTGCAACCCCAATGCGAGCCCAGTCCATGTTTTTCCAAGGTCGACTTGATTCCTGGGGTTTCCCCCAACCTATGTTGAGGACCCCAACAGAAGCCGCAGCCTTCCCGAACGGCTGAAGGTACAACCAAGCTGGCGCAAGTTGCTACTGGGTTTGTGTCGAAGGGATTTGGACCCAAAAAATAGTGGTTATGTTTAGGTCTTTCCAACTAAGGGTTACCCTTCGCCGGGAGAAAACTTAGGCCCCGATGTGCCCCGTTGGTTTTCCGCCCTGAAAACTTTGGCCCTTCGCTGCTTGGATGCTCGACCTACTTGGACGCTACAAACATAAACTACGTGACCGCCCAGGCCCGCAGTTGACGCTGTTTGTTGGTTCCACCTGCTTGAGTAGGATTGGTATAGGATTGGTGATATTCTCTATATGGGGTGGCTTGTTTTTTATTAGTCGGGCCTCCTTTTCTTTCGTGAATGTTCAAGGGGAGTCAAAGGGAAGCCCAGCATCTGTTTTGAAAAAGACGAGCCACCGATATTTCATATGTTGCTTAAACACTCTTCTGTTTTTGTTCCTTTCAGTTTCTTTAAGCATTTGTTTTGGGTGGTCCAGCCAACCAAAAAAAGCTTGTGCGCCATGGCAGCGGGTCCGTGGGTTTGTTGGGGCGCGAGTCCTCGAGGCTACCTGAAGGCCGGGAAGCTCCTGGGCCTCTCCAATCAGGTGGAGCCTGGAAGCCACGAGCTGAGTGCGTCCCTTCGTCGTCCCGTCGCATGCTCCACCCCGGGGCGTTCAAGCTCCAAAAAGGGTGAGTGACACTCACGCCAATGGACCCGCTTGCTAAACATGATGTGTTTGTGGCACATGCGGAGACCTGCATTTGTTTGGGATCCTTCAGCAGCGCTTGAGTTTTTTGTTTCCTGAAGGCTCAGCATGTCAGGTACGCCTCAATTGGCTGGATTTGTGGTTTGGCCCAGCTTCTGTTGTCACCAAAGGGGGAAGGCACCTCGTGGTCCAAGCCACCACACCAAACCAAACCACCAACTAGAAGGAAGCTCAGCATGTGTCGTTTGTGGAGTTGGTGCGCCTGTTTGGGTGGACGTTCTTTCACAGGAAAGCGACAGGAGGGCCCAACCATTTTCCTCCAATGTTTGAGATAAACCTAAGTCCACCACCATTTTATTCTGAGGACAACATCAACCAACCCTAAGGGTCTACTGTGTGAAGCTGTACTTTGAACCCGTTTTGACCCCTGGTTGGTACATCGCCAGAAAGTTACCAAGGGACCCTCTTGGCAATGGAACGTTGTTGGTTGAAGTTGGTTGTGTTCGGAGTTGACTTTGTAGTGGTCAAGTTTGATTTCAATGCCTCCGGATACATCTGGGCCTCTAGTGGGTGAAATATAGTTGCATCGCTGCCTTCCCCAACTCAACATGGTTGACCCCCAGCTGAGTTTTGGGGTTCATAGTTGGTCGTCACCCCCAGAATTCATAGTTGGGTACCGACCGGGGCAATCTTGAGTGACTTGAGTACGGCTCAAAATTCAACCAACAACGAAACCGCAGGTTTTAGTCCATGTTTCCATTTGCCAGGGATCCATTTTGGGTATACCCTTGGCTGCTATTGGGTTGGATCTTTAGACTTTGTTTTTGTGGGAAATCAAGCGGTTTTCCACTAAACCTCCAAAAAGTTAAACTTTTTGCAGGGGGTCAACAGCAACCAAGTACCTATTTTTGACCCACAGCCACTCGAGTTCTCAGCCCCGGTCCCGCGCACGATCGCTCCGCCGATTTTTTTTCGGAACGAAGGCTCGCTGGGGCAGGAGCTGCGCCCGGGACTCGGTTGGGAGGGCGAGCGAGTCTCTTTTTTCATCTGGCTGTGGTTCCATTTTGGCTTTTTGCGGGTTTAGTGGAACACCCCTTAGATCCAACCCAATAGCAGCCAAGGGTATACCCAAAATGGGTTGCCCTGGTACATGGGAAGCCATGACTGAACGAAACCTGCGGTCCCTTCTTCGTGGTTTAATTTTTCACCCACACCCAGCTAAGACCGGCTTTGGGCTCGTGATTTTCAGCATTTCTAATCGGTTCGGTCCCCCAGCTAGGTGCCCAGTGGTACCGTTTCCTTTTTTGGGGGAGGGTTCCCCTAAAATCGAATGCAGAGAAAAGGGTACCCTTATTCTAAGAGCTCTACTGCAGGACCTAATAATTCTATGGGTTGTCAAAGTCTGATACATATATATATATATATACATCGGAACACCATCAAAGTCTTGTTGCTCATGGGCAGTTCGTCTTGCCGCAACTTGCTGTGGTTTAAGGCTTGGATGCTAAAGCGAGCCTTGAGATTCTTTCGATCAACCTGGCAAATGTCTGGCTGTCAGCAATCCTCTCCTTGGGCTACAACTCACTGGCAACCAAAGCGAATCCACCGGATCGCCCCTATTGGCTTCCCTGATCTTGTCATGGCTACTTGGCTGGATTTTCGAACTTTCAGTTTTGGGGGAACGGTGGATGTTCCATTATTTTCCCACAGTAAGTTAAACTTTTTGCAGAGGGGTGATTTTTAGGCAAGATGTGGTACCCATTTTAGGCACCTTTCAGGTGATCACCTTGTATTTCCAGGCCCCTTGACCTGAGGAAACTCGATCTGGTGTGAAGTTTGGATAGGTTTGGAGATACGGAATCCTTTTCGCACCGTCCCGAAACCCCTGGTTTCTGATGATTCCCCTGTAAATACCAATGGCTTCATACCCGTGGTTTCAGTTCGTGGTGCGAGCGGACTTCGTCCTTCCGCAGGTTTGGGCAACTGAGACATTCCGAACCTTGGAGAGTTCGCCTGAAAGGGCTCCCACGTCGGATTGGCCGAACCGTTTGACCGGTTGCATGGGTCAATCTACCTGGAGTCTCCAAAAAAAGGAGAGGTTATTTCACTTCGGACTTCAAGAGATTCCGTTTCTCCTGGCGAAACGTGTTGCAATACTCCAGGCCATCCAAGCCACCGGGCAACCTGTTCTTGGTGGCTCCCAGCCATCCGGTTCCTTAGATTTTTAGCTTTTTTTAGTGTTTAGTGGTGGGTTTTCCGTATTTTGCCCTCTGAAAGTTAGTCACTTTTAGCGGGGGATCTGAGGACAGCTCAGTGTTGTAACCCCTGTTTTGATTATGCGACTTCTTTGGGCTACCCTTTCCATTGGCAACAGTTAGTTACATGGCCCATGTGCATTGAAGACTTCTCGACTGAATTTGCTTCAGGTTGCTCCCTTTGGAGTTGGCTTTTTGTTGATGCCCAGGCCCCAACGTGTGCGACCAGCCTTTGTAGCCCAAGAACTGCCCTGCGGAGCGGTATATGAGCGTCTCAGAATATGGAGACCTCTCAACGGTTGGTTTCCTTTTGGTTTCCCTGCAAACCAACAAAAACGGGTACCCCACAACACGATTCGGGGTCCTGGTTTGGCCGATCTTCCTTCAAAAGGGACCATTTCTTTGGTGGGTTCCATGTTAGACCAGAGCGTCAAGTTGCTCTACTAATATTAGGTTGGATCTTTTTGGATGCCCCTCATATGTCCTTGAACCTGAACAAAGTTATTCACTTTTCGCTGGGGGAAAAATATGCTACCCCCAAATGGTTGGTTTCCTTTTGGTTTCCTGTAAACCAACCGACAAATAAGGGCACCCTCCTGGCCACCAGGCATGGAACCAGCAGAGCAGGATGGTTCACAACTCGCGGCCTCTCCGACTCCCAGCGGACTGGAGCAGACCTGTGGCATCACTCGAATTGTATCCCATCACTTTTGTGATTTGCAAGGGAAATCTCCCCCTGTTTTTGTCCCCACTTTTGTGATTTGCAAGGACATCTCCCCATATCTCCCCCTGTTGTTGTTTGGCTTCGTCTTATGTTTGTTTTTGGGAATCCCCTTTTGGTTGTATCACAGTAGTCGTTTGAACCACAGCCCAACTTGGACTATCGAGGCTTTGAGCCGCTCTTCGTGCTGCCGGCGGTGAAGTCGCTGCGCAAGACCAGCGGCCGGTGCCCGGGTTCCGAGGAGGACGAGTCCAAAGCGGACGGGAGCTCGGGGCTTCCATTGGCGTTTAAAGGAATTTGTTTTTTCTTTCCACCTGTTGGTTTGGGAGGGGGGAGGGGGAAGGGGGGGATATGGTTTATTTTCTGCGTTGGTTTTCAAGGGAATCAATTTCACTACTGGACACATGTGTTTTCCTTTTAGTTTGAGGATCCAGGTAGACTGTTAAACCAATGGGGCCTTACGTTTAGATGTCCTCAACATATCCAGAATACTATCGTTTAAATGGGTGTGTTTCTTTGGGGGAACTCAGGTTTTCTGTTTGGTGTTCTTCTTACAACCAACCAAACAAGACGAGCCACCATTTGTCAGGGTGGGTGACGAGTTCGAACTTTCAACGGCTTTGGTTCCGAGACCAGCCGACGTTTCTGCCCACTTCTCCCACTTCTCCCACTTCTTCCACTTCAAGCAATTTGGACCACAACAGCTTTTCCCAACCACGAAAACGAACAGTTTGTTTTTTCTTGTCTGGACCATTTAATCTAGATCCTGCAGATGGCTGGTCTTTTTGGTGTGACGGGTTGGCACCGTTTTCCATACTCAAGGTGATCGACCCTTTGCTCGTTCGCTCGCTCGTTCGAGATCAGCGCTCACCACAACTTGCAGGGTTTCCGAGCCATTCCGCTTTTTTGGAGCCTGCAAAAGTGGCACCTTTAATATGGAAACCAGCAACATGCAAACTTTGAGGGGGAAATCCAGTGACTCTCGTTTTGTCATGGTCCCAAAATGTGAATGTTGACCCCAGATTAGTAAGCCACCAGTCTATATCCGTCTATATCCAGAATCAACCACGGGTTGCCCTAAAGCTGGTCTTTTACCTTCCTGTCCACTAACATGGTGGGTCCACCAGAGGGTCAACTTTAAAGGAACACGGTCCAAACTCCGCAGAGTCCGCTTCCACGGCAACATGGAAAGGAGGCTCGGTATTTCTGGAGCCAGTCACTGGGCAACTGAGCCATGGCCCCAAAAAAGTTCTCGAGCACAGGAGTCCTTTTTGAGGTTGCATTGATTATATGGACGCAGTGCATTCCACTGGTTTAGATTTGGTCTCTATGCCAATAACCAGGAGAAAGAGGCCAAATAAGGAAACCTCCGATTTTGGAAGTTCCCCCCCCATTTTGACAAAGCAAAAGCTCCAGCCCCATTCGACCATTTTTGTGGTTGGATTACGATGTTCACTGGCTAACCGGGGTTTTGCTCCAGCCCTCGACCAAATTTGCCGCGGAAACCTCTCGAGGCCAAAACCTCATCACCCAGTCGCTGCAGTGCAGCGCCGCCGCCGGCGGCCAGGCCATCGATGACTTCGCCGACTTCACGGAGCAAAGCCGCGCGCTCGGACGCAGTCGTTCGACCGACGGCGACGCGCGGCGGCGGGGAGTGGGGTGCAAGTGATAAAGAGCGTTGGGTTGAAGGAAAACCCAAACCGGAAACTCTACGTCTTTTTGTTGCTTTGAAGGAGAACCAACAGGAAACTTTTGGTGTCTTTCTGCGCCAAAGTTTGCTTGAAAAACACACCATCATTTTTTTGCCTGGCCGGGCTTGTGTTCTTTCTGCCCTCAACTTTTCACATCTTCGGTTGGCAACATGATGTGCTTCGCCCAGAGATACGGTGTACCTCACGGGTCTTTCGATCTGCGGCTGCATGGAAGAGCAGGCCTCCCATCCGGTGTTTTTCCGTATCCTCCTCGGAAGCTATATAGATGAATCGGGGACATCAGCACCCCTCCCCCCCTTGCCCGAGAATTGTTCCTAGAACCCTTCTAAGATCCCTTAAGAACAAATTATGTTTGAGGAAACCAAAGGGTCCCCCTCAAACCCCAAAAGTAAAAAAACATAACTCTTTTTAACTTTTGGGGTTTGGTGGGGACCCTTTGGTTTCCGGCCAGATGATGACCTTACACCACAAAGAAGCGGACCAAAGTCGTTCATGCGCCGCTCCCGTTGTTCGACCTAAACCCACCGTTTTGGGGCTCCCCTATTCGTGATTGATGCCCTATAGGATTCTTCACATCGATTGTTTGGGGTACCTCCACCCTTCCATTTTTGGTTTTTGGTATCGGACTCCAAAAAGAAACTATAGCAGGTCCCCATGTATATGTTTACCAGTTTCCCTTGGATACCTTTTGCGGTGGCTTGCCTGGAAGTACTGGATATGGCTTTCAATCGCCCCGCCGGATCACCTTTCCTTTTAAGATCCCATAGTTGCCGAGGTCCCTTAGTTACCACCTGCCTGTCCCTTTCACCCGGGCGTTGGCGCTAGCACACGGCAGTGGTTGCCACTGGTGCTCAGGCAATGAGAATTGGAATGACTTTTATAAAACAACAAAAAAAACATCCAACTGGTGGGGTTCCTTCGGGAACCCCCAAACCCACCGCTTCATTCCGTTTCTCATTCGGGACTTCCCTGCCGATGTCGCACCCATCGCCAGACATCGGTCTGGTTCCCCACGGTTTCGGCGGGTTTCAGCGGTCTCGAGGCACAGATCCCAAGTTCCCGCCTGCACCTCAGGACAGCGCACCGCCGCCGTCTTTTCGGGGGTTTTTGTGTGTGCTGTCTCAGAGAAAAACCTACCTGAAGTCTCCTTCTGACCCTTTAAAAAGGGGTCCATGACCCCATAATTTTGGCTAATGACCCCATTTTTAAAGGCTCATGGAGACTCCAGGTGTGTGTGTGTGTGTTTCGTGCTTGGAGGTTGGAAGGAATGGGCAGAAGTCCATTTTTTTGCGCTTTGAGCGAGGGAGCCTGTCGGAGCTACCAGGAGTTCGGTAAAACATGGTAGCGCGTGGCTTTCCTTTAGAGCACGAAACAGGGGGTATCCATGAAAAGGCGAGCCACCGACATGAAGCCCTGGTATGAACGGCCCCCGGCTGGCTCAAAGGTTCCAACAAGGTCTTCCACAGGGCAATTCATGGGTATGTCTTTGAGGGTACCCCGTTCTGGTTTTAAAGCGAACCCAAAAGCAACACCATTTCGGGGGACGCCGAAACAAATGCTGGGGTATGTCTCGGAGCGATTGCTGGGGGAGCTCCGGTGCCTTTGTCTTCCATTTGGCCATGGTTCAAAACCCCTTACCCCCACTGAATGGGGGACTCAACACTGGGTTATAGGCGAACGGCTACCAACAGCTTACTAAGTTGGCCAAAGACCCAAGTGGCCATGGTTCAAAACCAATGGGATTTCATTTTGGGGGTTTCGGTGAATTCACCACCCATTTTAGGCTTCCTATTTTAGAACGGTTGGATATCGGAGGTTCACTGGGGCGATTTGGGTTTTGACCAGCCATTGGTTTTCTGCTGAAAGCTATGGGCAAAGATTGCCCAGGCTCTGGAGTGGTTTGGGGCGGATTCCGGAGCGTTGCCGAGAGTTTTGGAGTCCAACAGCCCCTTGGGGATACCACTTGAGCTTTGTTCTTTCTGTAGTGTTCTTTGTTTTGAGTCGTTTCTTTTTTTGTTTTTTTTTTTGGGGGAGGTAGGTTGCTTTTGAACAGTTCAAAGCTGCCAACGAACCGGGTAAAGAAAGAGATAAACCACCAACTGGTGCGGTTTGGGTGGATTTTATACTGCCACAGAAAGAGTTCGCAAGAACTGTGACCTGGAGTGTCGTTTCCGTGGAGCTGCATGCCCAGTCGACTCCCAGCTCATCTTGAAAGATTCCCTTTGCATTCGATTCCCGTGGCTTGCCGATTCGAAGCCCGCGGTTGAATTCGGGCTTCGTTGCTTGGATGTTCGCCTGTTAGTAAGTCCGCTCTTCGGGAGGCTTATAAGTGGCTTATATCCTACCCAGTGGATCCATGTACCTATAACCCAGGGCTTGCCACCCGATAGAAGAACCAAATAGGAACTATAGCTGGTTACCAACTATAAGGCTGGCCAGCGGCTAGCAATTTAATTAAGGGCTATCGAACACCCAGGTGAGGACTTATTTCAGGTTCGGAACTTCTGAACAATCTGATTCTGGGGGATTGGCTAGGTTCTCCTCTCAGCTTTTTGGGGATAGGGTTAACGTTCCCTGACAGCCGGTGTTTTTGTGTTCAGATGTTTTGCAGTTTCTAGCACTCTATGTAGGCCTGTCGTTTTGTTAGGGAAGCCGCTTTTGGAGTGGGTTTAAAGGGAAAGCCAAAAGGGGAACGACCGATTTTGGAAATCCCCTTTTTCAACACATACCCATGCACCTGGCGGTCGTTTTGTCTCTGTTTCACTTGAGTAATTGTCTTGGCTCATGTGGCCAGACAGACGTTCCCTGTATATGGGTGTTTCTCAAAATTGGGGGGCCCCTCCAAGTAGGTGGATTTCCTGTTGGTTTCCTTTTAAAACCCATTCCAAAAGGGTCCCGTGTTTTGAGGCACAGCCATACTCAAAAAAGTCCCAGTGGATGGCTAGTTGCTCAGGCCTGGTTGCTACTACTACCAGCAGGAAATTCTGGCTCCCAAGGACAAGGCCGGGTGACTTCGAAGGACGTGCGAACTTCTGGGTTTTCTGGGGGTACCTCCACCCAAAACCTTGGGGGAAACAGCTGATTTTTGAAAAGAAAGATGGGTAAAAAGAATGGACACGGAATCAACCCCTAGAGGTTTGTCCTTCCAAGTTGTCATTTTAGGGCGCCGCAGGGTCCCAAGACCTTTTTTGATATTTGCGGTCGGCCATCTGAACAAATTTTGGGTTGTGTACAGATGTTGGCCAAAACTCCTGCGTGTGCGTATGGAATATGGGACACTGTATTTCAATGTGTGCAGTGTCGTGACGGCCAACCCCCCTGAACAAGTTGGAATGGCGGCAGCCCAACGATTACTGGAATAAGCCGCCGATACTGCTGATGTTTGTCCATCTACAGTACTAGGTGGCTCGTATGAGAAGCTAGATGATTACCTGGACTCGTCACAAGCCCATCTCGTTTTGAATTTCGATCCTAAGAAGAACGGCAACTGTAGACTGCTTGTGCTAGCAGCAAGAAACAGGGCCGGATATGTCCCCTCGTGGGTCATCTAAACACGACCGGTTGGTTGCTATGTTGAAACAGGTTTTGTTCTGGAGGGGTCATTTGAAAGGGAACATAGAATCCTGAGCAGTTGATACACGGGGCGGTTTATCAAGAGGATGAAATGCTCTACACAACTGTAGTCTAGTGAGCCAACTTCTCAGCGACGGTCGTTTGGACCTGGCTTTTCAAGTTTTGTCCATTTTGTCGCAACCCCAAAAGCTGCGCCCAACTTGGGTTTGTGCCTGTTTAAGCCATGTCAAGCAATTGTAATTTGAAGCCAGTTGAAGCCGTTTTGGTCCATGAGCCTTAGGTGAAGTGTCTTGTGCAATCTCAAGTGTCACTGCAATTTAGACCCATTGATGTGTTGACGAAAACACCAGAGAATATGGTGTTCACTGTTTGCATCAATTGAGGTGAAGTTCATTTCAATGTTGAGAGGGGGAAAGTAGCTGGGCGCGGTTACTACATTTTATCCATGGCAGCTCCTTTGTTCCGGAAAGAAGCTCATTTCTGTCGGAGTGGATTAATGTGACGTGAACAACCACGTAAAATCACTACCACTATCATGGGTACATTGCGCCATGATTAAAGGGTCATAGAGACTGCAAGGGGGTTGTTTTCTTCATTTTGCCACCTCCAAGCGGTGATCGAATTGTCGGCTCGTTTGGGGGAAAGCAAGATCCAACTTCTGTTTTGGCCAACCCCCCACCTGTGGGAACAAGAAACAAGGGAAACCAGCAAGTCTAACATAGCGACATACGGGGAAAGCCAAACTGACAGAAGAGTAAGTCGAATATTCTAATGTGGATGTGTCGTTTCGAGGGTATCCTTGGTTGTGGTTTAGAAGACGCGCCTCCCATGTTTGTTTGTTTTTTCGTCCGGAGCATGGTGATTGCCAAACGGCCGATCCAGGGCTACAAGGATCTCCCGATGACG